CGCTGAGTAAAGGAACTAGTGGCAGGACAGGCCAGAGGTTAGAGGAGGGGGTGAGTGGGACAGCAGGGCCAACTCAACCACCAAAGTCACTTCTCCAGAGGCCATCTGAAGGCCAGCATCTGGGTCCCTGGCCCAGCCAGGGGCCAGAGGGCTCATTCAACCCTGCTCAGCCAAAAGAGTAAGCACGGAGGCCAGGCCCAGGGAGGCCGGGCCCAGGGACGCCTCGTGGCCTCAAATGAGACCATCCCACAAAAGGTGACTGACACCCTCTAGATTGAAAGGAATGGTTGAGCTGAAGCCCAGAGCCCACCCAATGGTGCCCACGTGCTCTGGTCATCTGACCGCTACTCCTGACCACGTGTGACGTCAGTCCTGGGACAGGGTGTCCCTGCAGGGACACAAGCCTCCAAAGCCAAGCTCACCGGGACCAGGTGTCCCCTTGGCTGAAAGATCTCAGGCTGGCCGAAGACAGGACTGATGCCCTGGGTGACGCAGGTCCTGGGTTACGGGCTTCCACTCTGGGAAAGTGTCCGGCAGGTCCTTCTCTGGGAAATTTCTAGCCTCTTCCCCAGAAGAGCTTGAAGACGCATGTTTTCACTTAAAATCCCACTTTCCTGGCTGTTCCTGACCAGCTCTGCTGCAGCCGTGTTATCACCAATGTGCCAATCACATCAGCCTTCTCTATTAGCAGCCCCCACCAGGGTCAGGTCAGGTTGGCGGGGTTCCATCTGTCCCACTCCTGTGTCATGTCTACAGTCCCCATGCTCAGATACTTTGGGGACAAATGAATGAATGAATGACAGATGGCAGTCACCACCTGTCTTGGGAACATGTGCATCTGGAGCTGAGAGCTCGGGGCCTGGTTATCCACCCAGGAGCACCACTGGCCGCCGGGAGCCTAGCCGCTGCACATCCACCGAGGGTCTGCAGCTTTAGGGCACGCACACCCACTTCTGACCTCTAGAAGGGTCACATCCAGGACAGTGACAGCAGCCATCTGCCAATCAACCCCTCATACCCATCTACTCGTGGCCTTCTCCCTCCCCCACCCAAAGGAAAATAACAATAGCCGACATCATTGTCACCAGCCCACCCTGCACTGCGCCAAGTGTCTGATGTGCATTTGATTTTCATGATTCTTACGAGGACGTTGCCATCTGACCAATGAGAAAGCTGAGCCTCAGAGACGTAGAGTCCCTGGCCCCAGGTAGCCCAGCTGGAGGCGGAACACAGGAGTCCCGAGTCCCGTGCCTCAAGACTGTGCTGCCTCCACCAGAACAGGAGTCGGGGAGCTCCTCACCTGGGTGGTAGGTGAAGTGCTGAGGCTGGCTTCGTTTTCTTTTCCCGTTGATGACGTAGAAGTTCACCTTCACGGAGGTGCGGATTTGCTTGTTCCGATACTCGGGGATCTCGACAAAAAGCATGTTCTGGAAGGAAGGGGTCGTCATGGACTCAACTGCAGCAGGGTCCGCGCTCCCACCAAGACCCCAGGGGCATTCAGCCAGCCCCCCTAATGGCAGGGCACCCTGCGCTGACCGGGAAACCCGACTGAAGGGGAACTGAGCCTTTCAGCCGTGGCCGGGGAAGAGGCTGCACCGGGGTCTATTAAGACCCCACCGCTCAAACCAGGGGGCCTGGCCCCATAGAGACTGGACTCACACAGGTTCGACATGTACTTACTGAGTGCCTGCCAGATCCGCCACAGTGGGAGACGCAGCGGAGGAAGGAGGGAGGGAGGGGACAAGGACACAGAACAGAGACAGGAAGCAGGGCGGGGGCTTGGGACCCCCTGCCACCTGAAGTCCGCACCCCAGGCTTACGGGCTGGCTCTTGTCTTTATCCACGGAGGCTTCCATCTCCCAGACCTGCTGCCCATCTGGAAAGCAGAAAGCAACACACTCTGAAGAAACTACCAGAAACCAAGGCTCAGGCCCAAACCCCGCCCCCCCAGGGTCACCTTGGGACGAGTTTTTCAGTAAGGTGTGCTGTGAGTGCACGTGCCTATGTGTACACCTCCCTACAAGGATGACTCTCTTCCAAGTGCAAGGCGTGTTGACCACAGAAAACAGGAAAAAATTAGACACTGCTCAGAATTCTGCATCCTTAGCTTTTCCTCTGTATCCGAAAGTTACTTCTCTTTCTTTAAATAAAAAAAAAAAGTATTGTTCTGTCTCATACTTGATGACACGCTTTGTTCAACCAAAGGCTATTTCCAAAAGGTCCTGCAGATGCCAAGAGTGTCCCTGGAGCCTCGTTATGGATCCCTGACCGTCCCAGATGTGCCTTCTCCATTGTCTGAGAACCAGGTGACTTAGACATTCTGGCCTCGGAGGAACCCAGTGACCTCAACGGGGTCCTGGCTCCCGAGTCACCAGGGTGCGTGGAGACGCAGGAGCCCACCCCACACCTTTCCGGCAGCAGAGAGCCCAGATCCCACAGTGTGAGTCACGGCACCGACGGAGGAGGTTTTGCTCCTTCCCGGGAATTCTCCTTCCCGGGAGCCGAGCACTGGTTCCCCAGTCTGGGGCCAAAAAGTTGGGCCAAACACAACTCTGCGTTTGCAGATCACAGGCTTCGCTCGCTGACCACCTACATTGGCCACTGGGCAGTTTTCAGCTGAAACAAATCATTTCCACCGGCGTTTCCAGGGTGTTTGTGGAACATTGACTCTGAAGGATATGAAAGGGTTTTACGAGAAGGGGAAACTTCTACAAGCTAATAAGGATTTGGAAAACGCTGAGTCAAAGTCAGATGGGTCTCTTGACTACAGGACTCCCCCAGGCTCACCTGCAGAGGAACCCCTAGATGGGCTGCAGTGGGTGGCCCACCCTGACGTCGGACCACAGAGCCCCCGTCCCTTCCTGGAGCATGGCCGATAGCATCTTCCGTGACAGTCCAGACCTGGCCCCACGTGGTCTCAGCTCTAAAGCTCAGCCTGAGAAATCTGGGCTGCAGGCATTGTTGGAACCTACCGGAATGGCCCACCACCACCCCACCATTAGCACAAAGAGGTTGCTGGGAAGGTAGGCGCAACCTGGAAGATCTTGCAAAGAACCAGCAGTGGACAAGCTGGAGACCTCTGTGACAACCAGGTCTGCGGTCTTGGGCTGTCAGATGAAGTCCCTGAGATCAAAAGAGGAGGAGCCAGGAGCCAAGCTGAGCCCGCAGAGGCCCTGGGCCCCATCCCCGGCCTCAGCAAAGGCACGTGCCCACCTAACTACGGCACGGGGTCCCTGCGGACGGACAAGGTATCCCCGCGCAGTCTCTGCACCACGCTGCAGGGAGATACTTTGTGATTGAGTCTCCCAGAGAGTCGGCAGCTCCACAGGCTGCTGAGGGGCCCCAGAGGAAGTCCCAACAGCAGACACTGCACAGAGGGAAGCAGGAAAGGACAGACAGGCGGACATCAAGGCGGCTGAACAGAGGTCCTCAGGGCTTGGTCCTTCCATGAGCAAAGATCTCAATCCTGGTTTCCATGTCACAGACGGGTCAAAGGCCACCCAACAGAGCCGCGTGACCCCTCTCAAGAGAGGTCACCACCAGGAGTGCAGCGACTTGGATGGGTCCCCTTCCAAAAGAGTGTCCTCACACGCTGACCGCAAAGCGAGCCCTGAGCCAGAGGTCAGGTCAGGCGTTCACAGAGGAAGCAATGGTCAGTGTCTGCTCGTGGCCCGCGCCCAGCGCTCGCCGGCCAGGCTGAGCTCTGCCGCCACCAGAACTTGGCTCCCGGGTGGGGGAGGCCCGTCTTCAGGAGCTCAGGCCTGGGAGGGAAGCAGGGCCCCTGAACCCTCCACAGAGCTCAGCCCCAGGACACCCCATGGCAAGGGACGGGCCACCACACCCTGAGGCCTCCCCTGGCCCAGCAGGTCTGAGGGGAAAGGCAGCCCCAGGGTGCAGGAGGAGTCCCTGCCACCCCAGTGTTCTCTGCCACATGCCGACTGCAGCCAGGACAACTCCCCTCTAGTCACCTCGGTCCTCTTTACTCCTGGCTCCCTCAGCTTTGGAACATGAGAGCCGCTTCAGATCCCTGATTCCGCCAAGTAGCTGTGTGACCTGGGATAAGACACTAGACCTCTCTCTGCCTTTAATCCAAACTATGAGGATCTCACATCCCTAGGCCTCACGGGGTCCTCATGAGGATTCAGCAGGATGCCTGGCATGTTGGCGAGGGTGACAATTATGCCCGGTGGCACCAGGTTATTCCTACACTGACTTCTCAATGGCTCTTTCGCATACTTTCCGCCACGTGCTACGACTGGAATGAACAGGCATCCTTGAACCAGAGTCCAGTGAACGTCCTCTGGCTGCCCCTTCCAGCACCTCTGGCCCCAGGAAGGAACCTGCAAAGAGGCAGCATCTGTCCCGTCAGGCGCTCGACTCTCTTTGCTTTCAAAAATGGGCCTTTTACACCATTAACTTGACGTTAAGAGAAAGCGTGAGGGGTCACAGGCATGGCAGACGTGGGGGTACCTGGAGGCCTGTGAAGCGGGGAACTAACTTCTTTCTTTTGCACCTTTAGGGTCAGAAGCTCAGAGGCGCGACCCCGCTGGCCGAGCCTTGCGTGAGCACACAGGTCCCCAGCAGGAAGTGAAAGCTGACACCACCCCCTTCTCCGTTTAGATTTACACGGCGAGGAAGACGCAGCTCAAGGGACTGTCACTGAGGGAACTGGGTGGTTTACAGAAGGTCCCAAGGCCAACTTCCCGGCTGCACCCCGCCCCCCCACGCCTGCTGGTGTACACGTCCGGGGCAGGCCCACCCCATGCTCATGCACCAGAAGCAAAATAAACACTCAGCCCGAAGCCACTGTGTCCAGGTCAAGTCCTCCTGTCACCATGTACGGCCGGTGTGGCCCTCAGGGTGCACACCTCTTAGGTCTGAGTTTGCTCATAGGCAAAAATGGCGAAGCTGGCACCGCTGAGCTCCAGGAGTCTGGGGTCGGAACTGAACAGTGGGCAGGTGCACACAGCACAGGACACGCCCCCCCAAGGCCCCGCCCCGGTCTGTGCCGCCACTGTTACTCTAGAACCCCGTGTGTCCCCTGGGTCCCCTCGAGGAGAAGAGAGTTGGTGGCCCTCCTGACCCGCGTGCTCTGGTGAGGATCGAAGTTTTTCGTTTGTTTCGATGCCTCACATTCTTCCTTACAAATATAAAAAGTGGCCACAGAAAGTCTTCGCTGACAGGGGCCTGGCTGAGTTCATGACAGCCACCTGCAAGTAGGAAGGGCCACCAAGCCCATGAGGTGTCAGGATGCTGGGCAGCGCGTAGAGTAAGGAGAGCCACACTCTCTGACCTGGAAACACGCCCCTCATGTCACAGAGCCGACTGGCTGACGTGCCCGCCTGGGCCACCACGGATGCAGGAGCGCGGGGGACTGTGGGCAGCCACCACGGATGCAGGAGCGCAGGGGGACTGTGGGCAGCCACCACGGATGCAGGAGCGCGGGGGACCGTGGGCAGCTTCGTCTGCATTTTCTCATTTGGTGCTGAGCGCACCGTGCAGACTGTGCCACCTGCTCACCTGCTCGTCTCCAGGACCCTGTGGGGCCCAGGCTGCGTGGAGGCCAGATGTGGACCACTAGCACAGGAAGCTGCTCCTGTTCAGCAGGCTGTGGGGCCACGGAGGACCCTGCTGGCCTTCCTGCCCTTGAGGGGTGTCCAGACTGAGAGGACTCCAGAGAGAGGAGGACTTGAGCTGCTCACCTCTGCTGGGATGGGGACGCCACCCCACACCCGGCTTGGCTTCAGCCACTGGGCCTGCCCTACCCTCCAGAGCCAGCCTGCTCCATCTCCACGCCCCAGACCACGCCACCACTGCCCCCCCGCTCCTCTCCTGACCCTCACGCCCAGTCCCTGCCCTCCCTCAGCAGGGTCCCCTGGCAGCCACCTCTCATCTTCTGCTCCTCTCCCACTCTCCGACGTTATTTTAGCTACCTCCAGGTTGGCATCTCTTCTCACTTCAAGTCCCAAGCCCCGAGAGCAGGGCCACACCTACTTAATCCTCTGCCTTTTCCCAGTAAGAGTGTCTGGTCTGTAATGGTTGCTCAGTAAATACTAAGTGAATCAATGCACACACTGGTCTCAGCAGCCCCCTGCATGGCCCACAGTCAGAGCTCAGGAAACATCTGACCCTAGGCCTTTCCAGTAAAAGGCCTGACCGAGAGGAACTGCTGGGCCCTTCTCGAAGAGTCCCTTATGCTAATCAGCTGAAGAGGAAGGCGTTGAGAGTACAGGTGCAGACGAGGAACAACACTCTCTGGCCACGCGGCCCTGGTAGGACTCGGTGCCACTCGCAGCAGTTCTGCACCATCCGCTCTCGGCCCTGCTCCAGGCTGGGCTCTGGCGGACCCTCACTCACGAGCTGCACAGAGACCCCGTGGGCTTCTTCTGCACCCATCTGAGATGAAACCAAGAGCCCTGGTGTCTTGAGCAGATCTGGGCCACCTCTCCCATCCTAAGTCGGCTGGCACGGTCAGCCAGCACGGAAACGGCCCTGCCAAGTCTCAGTCACGGCAGGCAGCGGAGCCAGCAGCCCAGGAGGAGGGGCTGGGTCTCGGGAGAGGCTGCAGGAGAGCCCTGGGTGCGGGGATGCGTCCACCTTTCAGCCCTGGCACCAGCTCCAGGGCAGGAGCCCCGCGGAGCAGCAAGAGCCCTTTGCTGGTAGATGGCGGGACGCTAGGCTCGCCCTCTGCGCAGCTCCGTGGCGCTGGGGTGGAAGCGCACGGCAAACAGGAGGGCTGGCCTCAGGGGTCAGTCTGGTGACAGCACGCGGGAGGGCGGGCGAGCTTTCCAGGGAGGGAGGCAGACGTTTCGGCCCTGGGGCGGTGAGCACGCCACGCCGCTGGGCTCGGGACCCAGGAGGAAATCAGAGTGTCAG